AAGCCCTTCCATCCGCAGCCCCCCTTGTCTGTTGGGGGGACCACTGTCTGTTTCTGTACCAGCCGAGCTCTCCCATCTCTGGGGTCTTCTGAGACCCCACCTTTCTTTGGAGCATCCCTCGTGCCCCACCCTCTGTCTTGGCTCACGTACACCCTCTCCAGGACTTGATCCAGGTGTCACTGCTTCTGAAGTTCTCCCGGCGCCCAGGTGGGTGTCTGTACCATCTGGAAGTGATTGTGACTCAGGTTTGCGTGGCTTCCTTCCTGCTCTTGTCATCAGCTTAGTGTCTGCTTCAGAGGTTAGCACGGGGGAGGCGGTGTCTGCTTTGGTTAGCCGTGGGCCCAGCCCTGGCCAGCTCATCCTGTGGTTTGGGGCAGGAGTGGCTGGAATGGCGGGGGAGGGGTGGTGAGTGACAGGGTGACAGAGTGACATCCAGATGCCACTGCTGGGAGGGCAGGGAGAGAGGAAGATGGTGGCGAGGATCTTGGGGTGCGTAGGCCTGGTCACTGGAGGCAGTGTCCCTGCCACTGGCCAGCTGAGAGGACATGGGGGACAGGGACACAGGGAGGGCTCCCTGGGCCAACCGTCCACTTTTCCCTGGAGCTTCTGGGGTTCAAGGAGTGAGGGAGCTGCAGGTTGGCATGGGCAGAGGGGCAGAGAGAGGTGGGAAAGAGATGGGGCCCACAGAGTCCCCCCAGGATGGGCTCAGGCCCACCACCTGCTCTGCCGTCCTGAGCTGGCCTGCGTGGAGGCCTTTTCAGTCGGGTGCTGCCAGTCAAATTCCAGGAGATTTCACATTAAACTCTGGATTGCTGGCTTCTCTAGAAAACTCAGAGCTTTGGTATCCTCAGCTCAAACCCCTGCACGGCCGCGGCTGGCCAGCTGTGAGCGCCAGTACCGCCCCTTCACCTTCCTGACCAGAGACCAGTGGGCAGTGCCGTGTAGCATTGTGTGTGCTCCGCTGGGCTGTCTTTGCTTCTTTTTTAATAGAGAAGCGGAGAGCAAAATACTTTCCATATCCGTGTCTTTACTAAAAATGGGAAAGCAGGAGCTCCACCGAGGGGCCCCACGTTCCCCTGGCTGCCCTGGCCGCTCGCACTCCTGCCTGCCTGGAGGTGACTCGCATTGTGGGAGTTCAGGGGGAAGTGAGTTGAGGAAGACCCTGCCCAGCAGCTCCAGAGCTCTTTGGAGGAAGAAGGGAACGGAGAGCGGGCAGACGGGTGCAGGATCACAGCCCCAGCGGCAGTGGGGTGGAGGCTGGGATGGAATCTCCATGACGCCCTGGGGGAGGCATCTGATTTGGGGCCCCAGGGTGGGGCTGCAGGGCCTGGGCTCTGGCCTTCCTTGTTTGCAGACCTGCAGAGCAGAGGCAGAATCGGCCTTCCTTGTTTGCAGACCTGCAGAGCAGAGGCAGAATCGGCCTTCCTTGTTTGCAGACTTGCAGAGCAGAGGCAGAATCGGGTCCCTGGGGAGGTTTGCGTCTGTACCGTGCAGGTGCCAGCTGGCCTGGGAGCGCTAGGACAGTCCTTGGGCAGGACCCAGGGTGACCAGGATGAGGGGTTGGGGGTGGGCCTGTAGCTCAGTGCCCAGGGGCCCCTCCAGAGTTAGTGGGATTTGGTGCTGTGGGGTCCGTGCGGACCCCCAGTGTCGCAGGGTGGCTCCAGGCTCTGTCCCTGGCCCTCCCCAGCCCCTCCCTCCTGGGCCCTCCCGGATGTGAGCACTTCCTCCTTGGCCTTGGGGCCCACCGTTTGCTCTCCCTGGCCCTGCGCACAGCTCCACTTTACAAACAGGCAGAGGTGTCAGGCTCCCCAGACGCAACCTCTGGTGCTCCTGGGGAAGGCGGCGTGGTGTAGAATCGTTTCAGCCCTCCCCGTCTGGACTCGCCTGGCCCTTGGGCCTATGGGTAGAGGTGGACCATCTGGTCTTTACTAGGTTGAAAACAAATGCAAAGGAAAGAGTCTGATATGGTCGTTTTGTTATTTGAATTGGCTACCTCTTAAACTAAAAAAAAAAAGAGCTTAGTAGTAAGCGGGAATTTTTAAAACTCAAAACATTAAAAATATTTTTTTACAACTTATTTTATTAGAGGTTACTTTTTGAACAATTTTTATTTTTGCTGGATCCTAGTTCCCTACAGTGGAAACAGTCCGAACCCCTGGACACCAGGGAAGTCCTCAAAGCAGCTGTAGTTTCACAGCAAAACGGAGAGGAAAGTGCAGAGGTTCCCCACATACCCTCTGCCCCATATACACAGCCTCAGCCTTTATCAGCACCCCCCAACAGAGAGGTACATCTGTCGCAGTCGATGAACCCACAGTGACACCTCAGTATCACACCACAGTCCACAGTTTACATTGACGTTCACTCTAGGAGTTGTACATGCTATGGACAAATGGGTAGTGATGTGTCCACCGTTCCAGAATCATACAGAGTATTTTCACTGCCCTAAAAATCTTCTGCTCTGTCTTCTTATCCCACCCCCACCCCAGCCTCTGGCAAACACTGACCTTGTTTTTGTTCTTTTTTTTTTTTTAAAGTATTTATTTGTTCACCAGGCCTTAGTTACAACATGTGAAATCTTTTAGTTGCGGCATGTGGGATAGTACTCAGGCCCCCTGCACTGGGAACTCAGGAGTCTTAACTACTGGACCACCAGGGAAATCCCAATACTGACCTTTTTTTTAAAAAAAAAAAAAATTTTATTTTTGGCTGCACTGGGTCTTCAGTCCTTAGGAGGTCTGTGGCAGGCTTTCTCTACTTGCGGTGCACAGGCTTCTCACTGTGGTGACTTCTGTTGTCGTGGAGCGCAGGCTCCAGGGCCCTCAGGCTTCAGTAGTTGTGACACACGGGCTTAGCTGCCCTGATGGCATGTGGAATCTTCCCAGGCCAAGGATCCAACTCACCTCCCCTGCACTGGGGGCTTTCCTGGTAGCTCAGCTGGTAAAGAGACACGGGTTTGATCCATGGGTCGACAAGATCCCCTGGAGAAGGGTATGGCAGCCCTCTCCAGTATTCTTGCCTGAAGAATCCCATGGACAGAGGAGCCTGGTGGGCTACAGTCCATGGGGTCGCACAGAGTTGGACACAACTGAGTGACTTGGAAGCAGGTGGTTAATGATGTTGAGTATCTTTTCATGGGCCTGTTGGCCATCAGTATGTCTTGTTTGGGAAAATGTCCATTCCATTCCTCTGCCCATTTTTTTAACTGGATTGTTTGTTTTGTTCTTGAATTTTATGAGTTCTTTGTGTATTTTGGATATTAATGCTTTATCGGATATATGATTTGCAGATACTTTCTCACATGTTTTCATTTTACTGATGACTTCCTTTGCTGTGCAGGAATCTTTTAGTTTGATGTAGTCTCACTTGTGTATTTTTTTCCTTCTTTAGCCTTTGTTTTTGATGTCAAATTGAAAAAAACATCGCTACGGCCTACGTCTTCTCCTAGGAGTTTTCTGGCTTTGGGTCTTATGTTCAAGTTTTTAATCTATTTTGAGTTGATTAAAAAATCTTTTAAAATGAGCATTTGAGAAGCCAAATGAGGCTCCTTTCCTGTGCTCTGGGGGTTCCCCTGGTCACTGCCTGGGCGACCGTGGCTGCTGCCCTTGAGCCAGTGATGCAGGTGAGAAGTAGGGGTCCTGAATGCCCCCCAGGCTGAAGGGGTGACTTTGGGGGTGGGTGACAGGTCCAAACAGCCTTTGGTCTCCCCAGAAAATGGCATCGGTTACTGTATGCTGGAGGCTCCAGCCCTCCTGCGGTTTCTGGCTGGCTCTTAGAGAAGCAGGAAGAAGTGCTGGTAAGTGTTTATGTCGCTGACTGTGTGCTAGGCTCCTTATCTGTGCCATCTTGTGATTCAGTCTTTCCCACGGTCAAGTGCGGTGGTGCTTTTGTTCCTCTTTTCGGATGAGAATGTGGAGGTGGCTGGGTTTTGGCAGCTTGCTCAGGTCACCCAGCCAGTAAGCCTGGGAATCAGGAACCATCTCTGAGGCTGCCTGGCTTAGCCTCCCTGTCTGGAAGGAGCCAGACCGGGAGGGCATTGGAGTTCATGGCCCAGAGTTGGGGGTCCAGCCTCTAGGGTCACGCTGGCCAGCAGACTGGAGCAGGGTGGGTGGACCCAGGTGATGCCAGGCACCCGGAAACTGCACACTTGCTCAGTGCCTGGTACCTGCCTCCAGGCCTGAGGCTCGTGGAGACAGTTCATCAGCCAGACAGACAGGTGTCTGGGAGAGGGCCAAACTCTGTGGGGTTGCACCAGGCTGGCTTTCTGGGACTCCAGGGATTTCACAGGGCTTCCCTGCTGCTACCCTCTGCAAAGACATGGCTTTTCCTCTTGGGGAAATGGGGTGATTTCAGTCCCTCCTGACCTTGGGGAATTCCCAGCTCTCAACTCCAGGGAACCCACCCCTCGGGCCCTCTCTTGGAGCCCTGGGGGCAGGCAGCAATCAGGTTTTGTCTTGTTGGTGAAGGTCTGGATGCTGTGATGTTTCCAGTTCTCAGAATATCCGTGACCACATGAGGCCAGCTCCTCTGGGGCTCCTGACAGAGATGGTGGTCCTGGGAATGTGTCCTTTCTCCAAGGGGTCATAGCTTGTGTCCTTGTTCATTCAGCTCTGCGGGTCATTGTGGGTCCTGGGAGCCAGGAGCGGGAGGCGTGCTGGGCACGCCACGGCCGGGCTGCCTCGATGTCACGGTCACAGCCTTTGCGGAAGGTCCTCGCCATCCCTTCCTGCCAGGGCAGGGGCCTTCTCCCATTGGCAGGCTGGGTGCCTGGGCCCCAGGGCAGGAAGGTCCCCCTCTGCCCTCTACCCCGGTGGAAGCACGACCCTGCAGCCCCTTGTCTGGCCATCAGGTCAGATCAGCACCCCACAGTGAGCAGACACGTGGGGAGTCCTTTTCCTTCTCTGGGAGCCATCAGGCCTTTGGAGGGCCTTCTTCCTGGGGTCACTGCTGTTCATGAGTGACATCCTGCCAGAGGCTCATCCTGCCTCTTCTCCCCCCAGGATCATGCGGCCGGATGATGCCAATGTGGCTGGCAATGTGCACGGAGGGACCGTCCTGAAGATGATCGAGGAAGCAGGAGCCATCATCAGCACCCGGCACTGCAACAGCCAGAATGGGGTAGGCATCTGGGGACCCTCCACCAGCCTGGCCAGGTCTCTGGGAGATCCAGGCAGTCCCCTCCAGCCCTGTTGTACTCTGTGGGTTCAGGGCAGGAGTCTGGGTGGAGCCTGGGCCTGGGGCCTGCCCCTCCCTCTTCCCTGGGCCTTGGGGGCTTTCAGAAGCCCTGGCCCTGGACCAGGGACCCCTTGCATTGGCACTTGGTTTGGGGCTCATTGAAGGGAGGCTGGGGACCCCCAGAAACTAAGCTGAGAGACACCTTTTCAGCCCACTCCCTGCGTGTGGGGAAAGTTGTGGCTTCCTGAGTCTGAGAGGCCCCAGCACCTCAGAGCCTGTGTGGGCAGCAGTTAATCCTGGGTGTCACATTGCCAGCACCCAGATCTGTCCCCTGCTCGACCCACCCTGGGTCCACTGGCAAGTCTGGGGCTCTTCCCTTGGTGGCTTCTGGGCTGCAGGGCCCGCAGGCCTGCATCAGCTCCTGCTATGGTGCCTGCTGTCTGCCTGCCGCCCAGACAGAGCCAGACTTGCAGCTTTAGGGCTTAAGGGCAGCTGCCGGGCATGCAGCTTGTCAGGTCCTGCCTGGCCCCCAGCCCCGTGGGGTCCTGACGTTCTCTGAAGCCCACCCTCGGGATCCTGTGGACCTTGGCCAGCCACCTGCCATGTCCCTGTCCTCTGATTCCACACTCGTGTGGACTGTGTTCATGGGTGTGCACCACTGTGAGGGTGCACTGTAAAGTTGCATGCGTGCAGAATGAACCAGGCTGGGATAAGTGTGGGGGGTGGACGTGGGCCTGGGGGCCTCAGTGTGGGGAGGAGTGGGGTGAGGTTGCGTAGGACCCTGCTGTGAGGGAGGGGCTCTCTTGCCTGCTGAGAGTTTAGATTGATTCAGCGCCCTTAAAGTTCTGGGGCTAACCCGTCACGTTCAGAGAGCGCCCTCTGGTGGCCATGAGGAAGACAGGCCCGGACCTGAAGGTCTGGGGCTGAGGTGGGTGCTGAGCCCCTGAGAGAGACGGTGAGGGTCCAAGCCAGGCCTGGCAGGAGAGGCTGGCCGTAGAAAAGAAGAAGCCCCAGGACTGGGACTGAGGGAGTAGGGGCTCAGGAGGCTATGTGTTGTTCAGTCGCTCAGTTGTGTCTGACTCTTTGTGACCCCATGGACCACACCACACCAGGCTTCACCATCTCCCGAAGCTTGCTCAAACTTGTGTCCATTGAGTTGATAATGCCATCCAACTGTCTCATCCTTTGTCACCCCTTCTCCTGCCATCAATCTTTTCCAGCATCAGGGCCAGTGACTTGGCTCTTCGCATCAAGTGGCCAGAGTATTGGAGCTTCAGCTTCAACATCAGTCCTTCCAGTGAATATTCAGGATTGATTTCCTGTAGAATTGACTGGTTTGATCTCCTTGCTGTCCAAAGGATTCTCAAGAGTCTTCTCCAGCACCACAGTTCAAAAGCATCAGTTCCTTGGTACACAGCCTTCTTTATGGTCCAACTCTCACATATGACTACTGGAAAAATCATAGCTTTGACTAGATGGACCTTTGTCAGCAAAGTGATATCTCTGCTTTTTAATATGCTGTCTAGGTTTGTCATAGCTTTTCTTCCAAGGAGCAAGCAACTTTTAATTTCATGGCTGGAGTCACTGTCCGCAGTGTTTTTGGAACCCAAGAAAATAAAGTCTGTCATTATTTCCACTTTTTCCCCATCTGTTTGCCATGAAGTGATGGGACTGGATGCCATGATCTTTCATGTTTTGAATGTTGAGTTTTGAGTCAGCTTTTTCACTCTCCTTTTTCACCTTTATCAAGAGGCTCTTTAGATCCTCTTTGGCTTTCTGTCATTAAGGTGGTGTCATCTGCATATCTGAGATTATTGATATTTCTTCCGGCAATCTTGATTGCAGCTTGTGCTTCATCCAGTATGGCATTTTGCATGATGTACCCTGCATATAAGTTAAATAAGCAGGGTGACAAGATACTGCCTTGACGTACTCCTTTCCCAGTTTGGAACCAGTCCGTTGTTCCATGTCCTGTTCTAACTGTTGCTTCTTGACCTGCATACAGGGTTTCTTAGGAGGTGGTCTGGTATTCTCATCTCTTTAAGAATTTTCCCAAGTTTGTTGTGATCTACACAGTCAGAGGCTTTAGCGTAGTCAGTGAAGCAGAAGTAGATGTTTTTCTGGAACTCTCTTGCTTTTTCTGTGATCCAATGGATGTTGGCAATTTGATCTCTGGTTCCTCTTCCTTTTCTAAATCCAGCTTATACACCTGGAATTCTCAGTTCACATACTGTTGAAGCCTAGCTTGGAGGATTTTGAGCATTATCTTGCTAGCATATAAAATGAATGCAATTGTGCGGTAGTTTGGATATTTTTAGGCATTGTCCTTTGGGATAGGGATGAATACTGACCTTCTCCAGTCCTGTGGCCACTGCTGAGTTTTCCAAATTTGCTGGCATATTGAGTGCAGCACTTTCACAGCATCATCTTTTAGGATTTGAAATAGCTCAGCTGGAATTTGATCATCTCCCCTAACTTTGTTTGTAGTAACGTTTCATAAGGCCCATTTTGACCCCATACTCCAAGATATCTGGCTCTAGGTGAGTGACCATACCTTCCTGGTTTTCCGGGTCAGTAAGACCTTTTTTGTACTGTTCTTTGTATTCCTGCCACCTTTTCTTAATCTTTTCTGCTTCTGTTAGGTCCTCACTGTTTCTGTCTTTTATTGTGCCCATCCTTGCGTGAAATGTTACCTTGGTATCTCTAATTTTCTTGAGGAGACCTCTGGTCTTTCCCATTCTGTTGTTTTCCTCTCTTTCTTTACATTGTTCATGTAAGAAGGCTTCTCTCGTTTCTCCTTGCTATTCTTTGGAACTCTGCATTCACATGGATATGTCTTTCCCTTTTCCATTTGTCTTTTGCGTCTTTTCTTTTCTCAGGTATTTGTAAGGCCTCCTCAGACAACCATTCTGCCTTTTTGCACTTCTTTTTCTTGGGGATGGTTTTGGCCGCCACCTCCTGTACGACCTCTTATGCTCCTCTGTCCATAGTTCTTCAGGTACTCTATCAGATCTAATCATTTTAATCTATTTGTCGCTTCCACTGTATAATTGTAAGGGATTTGGTTTAGATCAATCCTGAATAGTCTAGTGGATTTCCCTACTTTCTTCAATTAAGTCGAATTTTGCTATAGGGAGGTCATGATCTGAGCCACAGTCAGCTCCCAGTCTTTTTTTTTTCTGACTGTATAGAGCGTCTCCATCTTCAGCTGCAGAGAGTATAATCAGTCTGATTTTGGCATTGACCGTCTGTTGATGTCCAAGTGTAGAGTTGCCTCTTGTGTTGTTGGAAGAGGATGTTTGCTCTGACCAGTGTGTTCTTTTGGCAAAACTTTGTTAGCCTTTGCCCTGCTTCATTTTGTACTCCAAGGCCAAACTTGCCTGTTACTCTGGGTATCTCTTGACTTCCTACTTTTACATTCCAGTCCCCTATAATGAAAAGGACCTCTTTTTTTTGGTGTTAGTTCTAGAAGATTTTGTAGGTCTTCATAGCAGCCTCTTGCAGGCAGAGCTTGGAGAATTCCAGAAGGGCCCCTGAGGCTGTGCCCTCATTCTTGCCTGGCTCTCTTAGCACTTGCCTTTCCCACTTCGTGCCAGCGAGTGGTGCTGTAGCCCCACAAATGTACTCAGGGCTGGAAGCCCAGCAATTGCCTCAGGTTGTTTCAGCCTCAGGGGTGATGTGACTGTGGGCGTGGGAGGGGGGTTGGGGTGGGGGTGGAAGGGACAGGTCCCCCCTTGAATCAGAGGATGAACCCACATGCTATGCTTGCCTGCACGGCCCCTGCTGCATCGCTGCTCTGGGGCCTGACTCCAGGACCTTTATAGGAACAGACTCCTGCCTGTCTGAGGCTCTCCTGGGGAGGGGTGGACATGGAGGTCCCTGGCTTCCCTCCCAAGAGGCTTGTTCTGTGGGTTTGGGGCGGGCTGGGGAATTGGCTTGTTCGCCAGGTATCAGATGAGTTCTCACACAGGTGGGAGAGCTGTACTTTGCTGCTGTAGGTGGTGGCAGGTGGCCAGTGGGAAGGGTGCAGACACACCGGGGCTCGAACTGACTGTCACATGCAAGCCCCCGCAGGAGGGTGTGGTGAGGACCAGCTGCCAAAGTGAAGCCCAGAGCTGGCACGGGACCCACAGTTCCTCAGGAGCTGCCCACCCAGCCCAGGGGCATCTGTGCTCGCACGCCCAGTGTCCTCAAAGAGCCGGCTGGTTTCTTGATTCTGATAGAAAGCCGTAAAAGTGCTGGGTGCTGTGATTGGCAGTGAAGATCAAACATAAGACTATCTTTAGTGTCATTTGGTTAATGTAGATTAAAAAGGAAGCTTATTCCATGATATATGAAGAACTATTACAACTCAACAGCAAAAAATAAACAACCCATTTAAAAAATGGGCAGAGGAACTGAATAGACATTTTCCCAGTGAAGACGTGCAGATGGCCAGCAGGCGTGTGAAGAGATGCTCACCATCAGTAGTCGTCAGGGAAATGCATATCAGAAACACAAGATGTCAGAAACACGCCTGCCTGAGTGGCTGTCATCAGAAAGACAACAGATAGAAAGTCTTGGTGAAGATGTGGAGATAAAGGGATCCTGTTGGTAGGAATGTAAGCTGGTCTTGCCCTTGTGGAAAAGAGCATAGAGGTTAAAACTGATGGGCTTCCCAGGTGGTGCTAGTGGTAAAGAACCTGTCTGCCAATGCAGGATACGTAAGAGATGTGGGTTTGATTCCTGGGTTGGGAAGATCCTCTGGAGAAGGGAATAGCAACTCCAACATCCTTGCCTGGAAAATCCCATGGACAGACGAGCTTGGTGGACTACAGTCTATGGGGTTGCAAAGAGTCAGACATGACTGAAGCGACTTAGCACACACACACATGATCCAGCTATTCCGCTTCTGAATATTTATCCAAAGAAAATGCAAACACTAATTAGAAGTGGTATCTGCGTCCCCTTGTTCATGGCAGCATTATTTGCAGTAGCTGAGACCTAAGACAACCTAAGTGTCCACTGATGGATAATAGGTAAAGAAATTGTGGGGAATTCTGTGGTAGTCCAGTAGTTAAGACTCTGCAATTTCACTGCCAAGGGCCCAGGTTTGGTCCCTAGTCAGGCAACTGAGATCCTGCAAGCTGCACAGCTCAACCGAAAAAAAAAAAAAAAAAGAAGTTGTGGTGTGTATATATGTACACTGTGGAATGTTATACATAAAGAAAGATGGACTCTTGCCATTTGCAACAACATGGATGGACCACGAGGGTGTTAGCTAAGTGAAATAAGTCAGATGGAGAAAGACGGATACCTTGTGATTCACCCAGAGGTGGAATATAAAAAAGAAACAAAAAGTACATGAACAAACCAAACACAAGCATGTAGATACAGAGGACAGAGAACTGGTTACTAGAGAGAGGAAGGGGCGAAGTAGAAGGCAGCCAGGAGCAAGGTGGGTGAAGGGATCTCTGCTTAGTGATGGATGGAAGCTGTATTCTTGGTGGTGAGCTCACTGTAGGGTGTGCAGAAGTAGAAACAGAAGGTGGTACATGTGAAACTCATTCAGTGTTATAAATCACTGCGTATGTGCATGCTGTCATGTCTGACTCTTTGTGACCCTGTGGACTGCAGCCTGCCAGGTGCCTCTGTCCATGGGATTCTCCAGGCAAGAGTGCTGGAGTTGACTGCCATGTCCTCCAGGGGATCTTCCTGACCCAGGGATTGAACCCATGTTTCTTGCCTCTCCTGCATTGGCAGGTGGATTCTTTACCACTTCACCATGTGGAAAGCCCTATAAATCAATGCTACCTCAATAAAAACTGACCCTAAAAAACTAGATTTTCAGGAGTCCTCTGGCGTCCAGTGGATAAAACTTTCCAACACGTTTTCTTTTGTATATATGTATATGTGTATATATGTATATATTTGACTGCACCAGCTCTTAGTTGTGGCGCTCAGGATCTTTAGCTGTGGTATGTGAACTCTTAGTTGCAACATGTGAAATCTAGTTGCCTGACCAGGGATCAAACTCAGGCCCTCTGTGTTGGGAGCTTGCAGTCTTAGCCGCAAGACCACCAGGCAAGTCCCAAGACTCCTTGCTTTCATTGCCAAGCGCCTTGAGGAACTAAGATCCCACAAACTGTATGCTGCATGGTGAGGCAAAAAAAAACCAAAAAACACCTGATTTCAGTGCTGGTGTGGAGAGGTGCTGGGGCCAGGCAAGCACTCTGCCTGTTGAGAGGCACTGTGGGAACACTTAGTGAGGTGTTTGTTTGCTTCTCCCCAGTAAACCATCCCCAGGACCAAAAATGATTTAAATAAAAGAAAGCTCCTCACAGGGTTATTCATAATAAGAAACAATTGAGGTTGACCCAAATCTAACAACAGAAGAATATTCTGTTTGGCCATTAAAAAAATACCCTTGCGTGGATATCCTCCAGTGGAGTATTGTGAAATGGCAGCTGTAGAAAGTATTGAGAAAAGGAAGGAGGAAGTGAGTCCCTCATTTTCATGAAGCGTGAGCTCCCAGGGGTTCCCCTCGTGGCTGGGGACATAAGCCTTCTTGTTCCTTTTGAATCATGAAAAGGGGTTGTATATTTAAAGGATAAAGAACATTTTTAAAAAAGAGATGTGATTGCTAAGAGCTTGTCATAACATGGGCAGGTTATTTTTCTTCCTGTTGAGTGAAAAAAGCAGATTGTGAAAGTGGATATTTAGCATATACACAGCTAGGTGAGATTATATATGACAACTATAGGTGAGTATAAGTGACAATTATGCATGACTATGAGTGTCAACCACATGCCTCAAACTGCAAAACAAGGAGCCAAGCAGACAAGTGAACCAGTAAAACCCGTATTCTTGGGACAAAAAGCCTGGAAAGAAAGATCCCAAAGTAGAAGGCGTGGTTGTCTCTCGATGGGAGGGGTGAATTTTCCCTGCTCTACTTTTCTACTTTTCTGTACTTCCCAAGTTTTCCATAATGAGTATGTATTCCTTTTTTCACTTTCCATATGCGAGTAATATGTATCCTTTTTTAGAAAAGTCGGGAAAGAGAAGTTGCTTGGAACCCCACCACCCAGGATCATCTGTATCAACAGCTTTGCCCTGTTGCCCCCCCAGGCAGTGCTTCATCTCCTGGTTTTGCATTTAGGAGTGTGTGCTGACAGTAACTTGCTCTACTTTATTCTTTATTTAAAAAAACTTTTGTTTCTTTGGTCATGCCACGCAGCGTGGGAGGTCTTAGTTCCCTGACCAGGGGATTGAACCCATGCCCCCTGCGGCAGAAGTGTGGAGTCCTAACCCCTGGACTGCCAGGCAAGTCCCATGACTTGCTTTACTGTACCCATGGGGAAGAAAACCAAAGGTCGTTCTAGGGGATGATGTCCAGGGTGGGGCCTTGGGATGACTGACCCGCCTCTGGTCTTTGCAGGAGCGCTGCGTGGCTGCGCTGGCCCGGGTGGAGCGCACGGACTTTCTGTCGCCCATGTGCATTGGCGAGGTGGCGCATGTCAGCGCAGAGATCACCTATACCTCCAAGCACTCGGTCGAGGTGCAGGTGCATGTGATGTCCGAGAACATCCTCACAGGTAACGTCCTTGTGCCGCACGGTGGCCTTGGGTAGGCGCAGCGGCCGTGGCTCCTGGCTCATCCTGACACTGTCTGTCATGACCTCCCTGCATTCCCGCCTCCTCGCATTCCCGCCTCCTCCTGTGGGCAGTGACATCTGCCTCCTCGCTCTGCAGATGGGAAGCCGGGGCACGGGCGTAGTTTAGGCAATGAGCCTGGTGTGTGGTCCCCCTCCCTCTGCCTTCCTGGGGTAGGGGCTGGCAGCCAGCTGGTCTGGGCAGAGGGCTGGCAGTGGGCTGGGAGGGCACCAGCGACCCTCCAGCCTTGCTAATGTACCCCCGTGCCCCCCCCACCCCGAGGGCACTTGGAGTGCGCTGGCTGGGCCCTTGCTCTGCACCCCGGGGACCCCCACAAGCCAGGCTGTGGGCTGGTGCTCACTGGGTGAACCTTTGACTCGGATTTGATCTGAATAGTCTCTTCCTCAGAGTGGTAACCATGGAAACCCTTTTTCCTGCCCCCACTGGGCGCTGCAGGGGAGCATGGCTCCCATTTAGTCACTGCTTTTTATAACTGAGATGCTCATGAGGCAGGCAGCCCCTTGGTGCCCTGGCTGCCCCGCTCCTCATCCCAGCCCACCCGGTGTCCCGCCCAGAGGAGAGGCCCTGCCGGCTCTAGAGGAGGGAGCTGCCTAGGCCCTTGCCCTTTCCTCCAGCACCCAGTCCTCAGCCATGGCTGCCTGCAGAGTGCTGTGCTCAGAGATCTTCATGGGGCTCCAGGCTTCTCCCCAACACAGGCCAGGCGCTCAGTTCCCCATCTAGAGCATTTGATGACCGCAGCAGGCCCAGCCGCCGCATAGTGAATGGTGCAGCTGAGGCAGAGCCTGGGGCGGGGGAGCGGTCAGCTGGCTTGTGCCCCATGTCCTGGTCTGTGGCCTGAGCTCTGTTCGGGGCAGCTCCAGCCTCAGAGACCTTGGATGCTGGTCTCAGGCAGTGGCACAGAAAGGGGTCCTCCGACCCTGACTTCCCACATGGGCTAGCAGCCCACCATTTGCCTCCCCCACGCCCACTCCCACCACAGTGACCCAGTCCTGCCCTCCTGGCCTGAGATGGGAGTGGAGCCTCCCTGCTCAGGACCCAAGGGAGGAAATAGCTGGCTGCACTCTCTGCTCCTCTTGAAATTCACACTTAGTCGATAGTGTTTTCAGCAGTGCTGGCTTTGTTCACCGCAATTTTCTGGTGTCTCAAAACAGGGTAGGGGCCTGCTTTACAGATTCCCGTCATCCAGGCCCCCTTTCTGGACATCAGAGGCTTCGGCCCATGAACAGAGTGGCATCAGACTGAGTGGGGACGAGAGGCAGGGACAGGGGGCCTCTTGGGCTTTTAGACTGGAACTCACGTCTGCCATGTGTCAGGGATCCTGGGATCTTGGCTCCTCTCATCAGAGGCAGTTCTCAAGGGGACAGACTTGGTTGTCACAGTCAGGGTGATGCTGCTGACTGCCTGGCGACCAGCCTGGGTGTCTGCAGAAGGAGGCTGAGGGGACTGGTGCTGGACTGCCGATGTCTGAGGGGAGTGGGCATGTCCCCTGCCCCCGCAGCTTCCGTTGGCTCATGATGGACAGGGACTCAGTCACTGATGAATGAATGAAGGAAGGAAGGAAGGAGTGGATGAGTCGCTCCTGTGCTGAGAGAAAGCCAGCAGGGGGCACTGTCTAGAAGGACGTGCTCCAGCCCACTTTCTTCTTTCTTCACAGGACCCTCCCTCTGTGGGCAGGAGTGGGCAGTGCTCACCCAGTGCCCGTGATAGTGACATGAAACCCCCTGCTTCGTGGTCAGGATGCTCTCCACCCTCCCCCCACAACACACACACACAGTCCCCAGCTGCCCTGGCTCTGAAGGGCGGGCGCATAGAGTCTAAGCTGCCCCGAGGATAGCAGCGGCTGTGAGGAGCACAGCCTCCCGGGACAGTGGGCAGGCTGTGGGCATGTGAGGGGGACAGAGGCCTAGCAGAGGAGGGACCGGCCAGCACTGCCCAGCCTTTGGACACGGGGGAGGGCCAAGGCCGAGGGAGGAACCTGAGGCTGGATCATAGGGTGGATGTGGATGCTTGGAGCCCTGGGGCTGCGTCTTCTCTCCACAGCTTGGTCACCTTGCCCACCTTGCCCACGAGCCCCTGCTGCAGGTCTGGGTGTCCCTCTCCCCCCTTGATCTCACATCTGGTACCCCTCTGGGTCTTGGCACCACGTCTGTATCTGTGGCATCCTCTCTCCATTTTTCTATGTTTGGGTCTGTATGAGTCTCTCTTATCCTGGGACCCCGTGTCTCAAGGTCTTCTTGCCATGATGTGTCTCTGCCTGCGTGTCCACTGGGATGTGAGGGCAGGCTGTGTGGCTGTCTGGTTCAGAACAGGGCTGCCCGGAGAGGCTTTGAACATGGCCAGGTGGGGAGACCAGGCTGGGTGGACAAACAGGCGACGCGCCTGAGCCAGGAGGCTGCTCACGTGCCATCTCCGCAGTTCACAACCCCTGGAGGCAGAGTCCCCGTTCTGTGCGTCCCCCTCACTTGGGGCTGCACCGCCTTCAAGAGGCAGCCGGGCGAGCACGCGCCCAGGCAGACAACCAGCAAACCTTTGCTCATTCATCTCTGGCAACTGTCAAAATATTAAGCTCACTGGGATGTGATTGCCGTGAAGCGCTCCAGAAAATGGCTGGGAGCCTCAGAATTTCAGGATAGATGTTTTCAGTGCTGTCGTTGTCTTTTGGTGGTTTTATTGAATGATAGAGAAAGCACAGTTCGAGTGTTTTGCCTCATTTGCTCCATGGTGTTCGTTTGGGTTTGGAGGAGGGCCACTCGGCGTTTCCATGGAAACAGGCCATCAGGCCGGCTCTAGCTGAGTCGGACAGGAAATCTTTACTCCCCAGAGCAGGTTGTCAGAATCACTCTCCATCATAGAGCAGTGAAGATATTTTTCCATGTTGTTTGCCTGTGGTCCTGGTGGTGCTGTGGAAACATCCTGGTGGGCCTTGCCCTCTCTCTTACCGACCTGCTGGGGCTCGGCCTGGACCTTTGATCTAGTTTAAGGGAGAAAATGGAAGCCACAGGACCGCCTTGGGGGGGCAGGTCAGAGGAACTGTAGGAGGCATTTAGGGCCAGGCCCCCAGGCTGCTTCCTCTGCTCTGTGTACTCTCTGTCCTGAAGCTCTGTTCTCTGCTGCATGGAATCTTCCATGTCAAAGAGGCAACTTTTAACAGGCATCCTCGCAAACATTAATACTTCCCTGAAATTATGGGGTCTGGGAGGCTTTGAGCTTCTGTATGAACCTAGGCAAGCCCCTTGACTTCTCTGGGCTTCAGTCTCCTCCTGCACAAGTGAGGGGTGTGGACCCAGGGATCCCTGGGCTCTCTTAGCCCATGATGTTCAGTCTGGACAGGCCTCCGCCCTGGGCACCCCACTCTGCCCTGAGGCCAGGCTCGGTGCCCAGAGAGGGTTCTGTTCTTGCTGTTCACCCCAGAGCCAAAGCCAGCAGCCTACAGCGCGCTCTCAGCGCCAACTTGGGAGCATCTGGAGTGAGGCTGAGTCCCGCCAACTGTGCCTGGTGTGGTCCCCCCCCACCGGGAGAGGGGCCTGGCGGGGGGCAGGCTGCACTCTGGCTGTGTCCCACGGCCCTGCTTCCACAACCCTTAGCCTCACGTCCACGAGCTGCCTCCTGCCCACCCAGAGCTCTTCTCGGGGACCTTTAGGCCAGTGGGTGGGTCCCTCAGAGGACGATCCTGTTCTGGGTGTCGTGATGTCCAGTTCCTCAGCGGGTCCTTCTCCGTGAGATCCGTCAGCCAGGATCTCTCGGCGGAGATGGGGCCCAGCCTGGCTTTGTCCTGCTTTTCCCTGGGAGGAGGCCGAGGCCAGTCTGCCCGCCTCCCCGACCCCAGCCCTAACCTCCCCCTCCCTCTGGAGGCTCCTTGGAGGCCTGCCTGGAGTCAGCGCCCTCCAGATGTGGGCCTTCTGAGTTAGAAAGTCCTAGAAAGCTGGCAGGCCCCCCAGCTTAGACCAGACGATCTGAAGTCTTCCCAGCAGCCTCAGTGTGGGCAGCATGCTGGGGCAGGGGCTCCCCAGCTGGGGTCCACACTTCCCTGGTCTGTGCCCACACTTGCACCTCGAGGCTGAAGGAGGCCTGGGGGTGGGGGCTAGAGGTGGCGCTGGCCCTGCCTGCCGCCCTGCCGGCTCCCAGGCCATTCCTCACATGTCTTTCTTCTTTGAAGGTACCAAAAAGCTGACCAATAAGGCCACCCTGTGGTACGTGCCCCTGTCGCTGAAGAATGTGGACAAGGTCCTGGAGGTGCCTCCGGTTGTGGTAAGGAGACCCTACCCACTTTTCCCAGGCAGGGGGCAGGGGGCACCAAGTCTTATGAGAGTGGGAGGCATGGGGGAGGGACGTCCCTTCATGCAGAGAAGGCCAGAGCGGCTGGCCTGGGCCCTGCAGATACCAGACCCCTCTTGGAGGGCCCTGGTCAGAGGCAAGATGGGCAACAAGACTGTGCTGGTGACCAGTCTAGAGGAGACCACAGTCCTGGGGAGACAGGCTGAGACAGCTGTTTCAGCCCCGCTCTCTCTCCCGCCGTTTCCACTTCCTTCCTTGGTTTTTCTTGTTTGGGTTTTTCTCTGGACAGACACGTCTGTACATGAAGAGACTTTGTCGTGTTCATGCCCAGGTGCCCCACTGCAGGCAGGCTTGGGGGGCAGGCATTCCGAGGGGGAGATTAGGCTGATAGAGGGGTTTAACTCCTCCCCTCACAGCGCCCCACCCCTCCTCCTGCGGTCCCCCTATCCCTGGATGTTCCGAGGACATCTGTGACCCGCTCTCCCTGGAGGCCAGGCGCTCTGCTCTCATCCCTGCAAGGACGAGCTGTTCTCAGAGAGGCCTGGGCCTGGCTTGGCTGTGTCTGCCCCTGCAAGGGAGTGTTTTTCTGTGGCCGAGATGTCCAGAGAAGAAACTTCTAAGAAACAGTAAAGTGGGGACCCAGGCAGTTAGGGACTGTATCGCACTCAGGGAGGAGCACTCCCTAGTCTCCTCCTCCTTGCTCCCCCACCACAGGCCCCTTCCACTCTGTCAGGTCCCCCCACCGCCCACAGGCCTAGGGCAATGGGGGCTTGCTCCCTGTCACCTGGGGGGTGCTCCCAGCCCATAGCTCATGTCTGACCAGCACGCTGCCTGCCCCTGTGGAGGTGGTCAAGGCCCTGGGGAGTCGGGGGAGGGCCACTCAGCTTCTGGGCTCCAGCTGCCCTTAAGTCTAGACTTTTAAATAGCATTCCTGGTGACAGGCGTCCTCTCTACATGGACTGGGAAGGGTGCTCAGACCTTGGTCTGCATCCGATTGGTGGTTCTGGGTTTGGTACTGTGAGGGCAGGGTGGTGGTGTCCGCAGCTCCGGGCCGCCCGTCCTTCCACATGCGAGGAGAGGGCAGGTGCTCGGGGCCAGATTCCCTCATGTCCCATCTGTTTGAGTTTCCCAGGAGCCCCTGTGACACAGCCTGGGGGCTCGAACCACAGTTCATTCTCCCAGCTCTGAGGCCAGAAGTGCAGAATCACAGTGCCGGCTGGGCTGCCCTCCTGCCGGAGGCTCTAAGCCAGGGGTGATCCTTCCCATGCAGTCTAGTTCCAGGCATTCCAAACATTCCTTGACCTGTGATCGCATCCCTCCAGCCTCTGCCTATGCGGTCACCTGGCTGCCTTTCCGTATGTGTGTGTGTGTGTGTGTGTGTGTGTGTGTGTGCGCGCGCGCGCGCGCATGTGCGCAGGAGTGCACATGTCTTAACTAATTATTCCTGCACAGACCCTAATTCCCAGAAAGGTCACATGCTAAGTCCCAGGTGGACAGGAATTCTGACAGGCTGCTGTTGAAGCCAGAACACTGGCCTTCTGTCCAGCCCGCCTCTCTCTCTCTCCATCTCTCCCTCCCTCCCTGCCCGTACCATCTACCCCCCCCACCCCCTGCCCACCGCATTCTTCCTGGAGCTCCTCTCTCTGTTTCTGACCATTTTGTCATTTTCAAGCAGCACTGACTGAGGGGTTTTAAGACCCAAGAAGCAGGTGTGAGTCTGAGGCTCAGTGACTATCTTTTTAGAAAATACAAGTGTGCTTATCCTCGCTTTCATCTTTCCCACTAAGCACTTGATGTTAAATTAGCCACATCTCATATAAACACTCAAACACAATTATTTAACTTTTAGATTTAATTTTCAGATGCTACACAGTTTTAGAAGTCTCCAGCAGGCTTTATCTCTGGCTTCAGTAGCCACGTGATATGTCTTCAGGGGTTGCTGCTGAAGGAGGATTCCTGGGCTAGGCACATCAGCGCTTGCTTCCTTCTGGCTCCTAAAGGCAGGGAGTGCGGTGGGCCCGGGTGCTGAGAGCTGGTGGGTTTTTAGCCAGCAGGGGAGGGGCAGGCAGCATTGGGCTCTGCTGGCTCCTGTCCCCCTCCCCTCTGCATGTCACCCCTCTCGTCTGCCGCTCTCCCTCCCACATCCTGGTGGGGCCCCCTGGTCGCTTTCCCATTCCCTTTGTTTAGCCGGGTTTGATGAGACATAAATATCAACTCTGCCCATGTTGCAGGGGGTGTTGGAAGCGTTCCACTGGGTGCAGAGAGAGCTCCAGATGGGAGAAGCTGTGTGGCTTACAGCTGCAGCCATTGCTAATATTTATTTGCGTTTTCTTCCCCCCAACACGTGCTAGGCCCACGTACACGCCTTCGCTTGACTCCACATATAGGTCTGTTGTTTTCTGGGGCACAGCCCATCTGAGTCCTGAAAAGCCCAGCTCTGACTCCCAGGAGCACGGATGCTCAGGTGCTGGGAGCTTGACCATCAAGCTTCCTAGGTCCTGCTAGCCTCCTCTGGCCGACCCCGCACTGATAGTGGTTATTTAGTGAGCACATACATCATTCTGCCTCTGTGTGTGTATCTTACATGTCTCACACATGCAGGTATGTTACGTTGATCATACATACATCCCACATGTACATATACGTAGATATCTCACAGAGCATACATTGCACATGTGCATATACACTGCTATCACACATACGTGTGTGTGTGGGTCGACCACATGAGTGCCTCTTCCTGGGGAAGCCCAGCTGTCCCCTGTGGTGTCACTCAGTGAGGACTTCATCACTATGCTCCACCTCGTCCCCCAGGGACCAGGGACTCGACCCTGTGATGAATCAAGAGGCCTCTGATGTCTTGGAGACAGCTGTGGCCCCCGAGAGGCTGGGGGAGCACTGGGGAGTGGACTCTGGTTTTTATTGATGTGTCAATGTGAGCCTAAGTCAAAAGGCTCACTCAGACTGTTGCCCCGGATGTTTGGGCAGTCTTCTGCTTCAAGTGAGCTGGGCCTGGTGAGCCCTTGGGGATGAGTTGGGTGTCAGCCCATCGAGAGCATGCTGTCATGATGTTGTCCCCAGATTTTAAGTCAGCAGGAGGCGTTTGTTTGTGAAGAGGCTATGTTTTCTTGGTCCTCATGGCTGGTGTCAGAGCCAGGGCCCCTATCAGCCCCCACAAGAGTGCAGAAGTCTCATGACCCTGCTGGACACGAGGATTTATTAGACTGGGGAGGTTGGCTCTTTCTTTAAAAAAAATCTCTTCAAAGGCATTCCTTGAGGACACGTAGGTCGTCCTTCAGCTTCACTAGAAAGGCACAGCACAGTCTCTGCTCTTGGAGGCCTTGCTCTGTGGTGGGACGTGAGGGATCGTCTGTTTATGGAGGGAGAGGCTCGGGGTTCCCTGGTGCCCTCAACACCTACCATACTTTGTTTCTTTTGGACATATCACCCCGCTCCCTTCAAAGCCTCCTTCAGAGACGGACTCTCAAGCCCAAGATGATGGTAATGAAGCCATTGAATGCGTTCAGACTTCAATGATTTTGCAGCTGAGCCACTTGCAAGAAAAGCAAGATATTGAAAACCAGATTTTGAAAGAAGATCTGAAATTGCAGGGTCAGAGAGGAGCACGCAGGGCCCCAAGCCCAGCTGCCTGTCCACGGGCTGAGTGGGAGATGCAAGTGGAATGGATGGAAGGGCATAGGTCAGAGCCCGTCAGGAGAGTGGCCAGGCAGGGGTCAGCAGGGAGGCCCTGAGGACCCCAGACCTCCCCAGTGGATCCCGGGACAGAGGGTATTGCCTGCACTGGGCCCCAGGGCAGTGGGCACCAGAGGACCCAACATTCTCCATTTTGCCATGTTTTATTTTCATGTTTATATTTACCTTCTTGGATCAGAATACCCATGATCCATCAGGAGAGCTTTGGTGGGTGTCCCTTATACACCAGCAGCCTGCTTGAGTGGCTGGGAGTCAGCGGAGTGAGGCCGCCCAGCGTCTGGGGGTACATGGGGACCTGCCCTCTCCTCTCCTGGTCTTGAGGGCAGCCTTTATGGGGCTCTCTGACTCTCTTGTTCTGTGTCTAGGAAGGACTGGGGCAGCTAAATATAATATGGAAAATGACTGAGATCGTCAGTGTGATGTTTTAATGGTGAAAAACTGGGAGCAGACTAAGTGTCCAGATATTATGGATCCATCACATAAATTATGGCAGGATGATACATGAGAGGAGGGAAGGCTGTGACTTTTGAGCTTCACGTACAGCACAACAGAACCTTTTATACACACGGGCAGAAAAGCAGTTCCAGGGAGGACGTCACTCAAATGTCTGACCCAGTCTCTCTTGCCCAGGGAGGTCTCCGTGGTATTTTCCCTCCTCTGTGTCTTTATTATTTATATCGAGCGTGTATTGTCAGAGAAAGACATAGTTCCAGTTGCAGGAAGGCGGGGCACACGGGAGGAGGCGACCTGAGGGCCAGGCCTGACCCTCTCCTGTTTTCCCACCCCGCCCTGCCCCACAGTACTCCCGGCAGGAGCAGGAGGAGGAGGGCCGCAAGCGCTACGAGGCCCAGAAGCTGGAGCGCATGGAGACTAAGTGGCGCAATGGGGACATCGTCCAGCCCGTCCTGAACCCAGGTAGGAGCCGGGCTGCGGTCTGGGGCCGAGGCGGTGAGGCCTGCTCGTGAGCGTTGTCTTGCTGGGGCCAGTGCGTCCCCAAGTGCTGTCTTGTGGGGTACTGTCCCTTTGACCCTGCAGCTTGCAAGCCCTGTCCACATGGCGCAGCTGACCACAGGGCTGGGGGACAAGCCTGAAGGCCTCGGTGTATCTGCTGCCATGGATCGCTGACCGGAGGCCCCCCAATGGGAGGGGCCTCACTACCTGGGCAGAGGGATGCACACCTGGCCATGAAGAGTTTGTCCCCCTGGTTTACCTGGAGTGCGTTTTTGATGGGATTTCCAGCTTATAAAGAGACAGAATGGCTGACTTCCTTGGTGACGCAGTGAATAGGAATCCACCTGCCAGTGCAGGGGACAGAGGTTCGATCCCTGGTCCGGGAAGATCCCACATACTGCGGAGCAGCTAAAAGCCTGTGAGCCATAACTATTGATCCTGTGCTCTAAAGCCCAGGAGTCACAGCTACTGAAACCCCTAGAGTCTGTGCACGGCAAGTAGTGAGCCCACGCACCTACAGCCTGTGCTCCACAGCAAGAGAAGCCACGGTCCTGAGAAGCACGCATACCACAACTGGGGAAAAGCAGACACAGAAAGCAATGAAGACCCAACACAGCCAAAAAAAACAGAATGGCAGCAGCATGTCCCACATTGTCCTTCCCGGCCCACTGCCCAGATGTGGGTTCAGCAGACGGACTCTGAGCGCCCGGACAGCTTGGGGCGCAGAGAACTCTGCCAGGCCCGGCTCCTCACGGCTGCTTCCTCCAGTCTTCCTCCTAGTGCCTGGAGGGCTGCGGCCATAACAAAACCTCCGTCCACAGTCCCGATAGGCAAGGGAGGCTGTCCCGCGAGTCCCTGATGGAACAGATTCAGGGCTGGGCCTTGGGGCTTCAGCCTGGTGTCGCACGTCACCCTCCTCTGCGCACACCTGACCACATCTTCCTGCGAGGAGTGCGGGCTGTGTGTCCTCTCCTCTCCGTGTTGGCCGGGCTCCCGGGGTGAGTGTCCGTGTTCCATGCTGGGTCCCAGAGTAGCACCTCATGGGCCCTGCGTGTGGGTGGTGTGGCTCCTGATCCGGCCCTTGCCTGCTGTCTGAGGACCGGCCCCAGGTCACCCCCTCTCCACTCGATGCCGCTGCTCCATGAGCCCTGGGCTCTGCCCCTCTCCCAGTAATGAGCGCGGTGAGCTCCAGGGCCGGGGCTGGAGAGACTGAGGCTCTTGTGATGACTTCAGTGTGATCAGGCCCCGGGCATGTGCCACAGGCGGTCAGCGACCTCAGTCCCAGGCTCTGCTTTCAGGAGGGTGGGTGAGCAGGCAGGTCAGGAAAGGCACAGAGGGACACGGCGGAGTTGCAATGTCTAAAGAAAGACACAGACTTGGTGTTGGGGGAGTTCCTGGGAGAGAGCCTGGAGCAGGTTAAATGGCAACTTCCTCCCCCCAGGACACAGATCACAAATCCCTGGGCCCTGTGACCGCAACCTGATTCGCGGAGGGGGGCCTCTGCAGATGGAATCAAGTTAAGGGTCTTGAGATGCCCAAATCCAGTGACCAGTGTCCTTGTCAGAGACTGAAGGGGAGCAGCAGTGTCAGCCCGAAAGCAGCAAAGAGAGGGGCTGGGAAGAGGTGCTGGCTGGCCTCTGAGGGCTGAATCCACCCCTCCTGGGGTGATTGCTGGCCAGTGCTGGGACAGAAGCTGGGGCTGAAGGCAGTCTCAGGCTTTGAGGGCCATGGGGTTAATCCTGGCTTACTCCTTTGACTGACTGTCTGGGAAACTAAAATTACTCAGGGTTTTCAATCAGTTTAAACTCCTTCACTCATGAGATTATTTTCTGTTTGCAGTCCTCTGATTGTAAATCTGATACATAGTATTTTTTAGGATCTCTTGCTTTCAAATGATATTACTGTAAGATGGCATTCTGAATCTCAAGCTTTTGTGATAGATTTTTATAAGCTTTAGTTTCACCTTTTCTGGCCCTAATAAAAATGCATCTTTCTAGGCAATAGGGACTGACTTTTAACCACTTCTTAAGGATGTCGCATATCCATTCTCTGCAGGCTTTTTAAGCATTGCCATGTGCACTTGGCACTGGGGTCTCCTAACACTTGTGCCCCTCCCTGTGGGAGGACCCCCGTCCCGCCTTGGGGAGACAGGATCGACCCTGTACTTGCCACCCCACCACCTGCAAGTCCCCCTGGTTCTGCAGCTCTCCGTTACTTTTGCAGTCAGAATCAGATTTCATCTCTGTGGCTGTTGCCTAGCAACCCCTGCGAGGGGCCAAGTTCATCTTTCAGGTATCTTTTCAGAGAGTCTGGGAGTTTTTTAGAAGCCCAGTTTTTCTTACTGTGTTTCCTCCATCTAACAAGACAAAATACAGTTACCTTGAACTCTTCAGTTCATGACCATTAGTTGTCCAGCCTTAACTGTGTAGGGACTATCTGGTCCTGTGATTAACTGTGTAGGGACTGTCTGGTCCTGTGACCCACCATCCATTCTGGGGGCTCTCAGGTTTATGACGGAATTAGCTCTGCCTCTTCCCTGGCCTTTGGGTTTGAAGCAGTGTTCACCTCGTAGTCTGATCCCCACTGTCCCCAGTGTCCCCACTGCTAGGACAACTGGGGTCTCTTTTTGTTTGTTTATTTTTTGGTTGTGCTCGGTCTTTGTTGCTGTGCACGGGCTTTCTCTAGTTGAGGTGAGCAGGGGCTCCTCTTCCTTGCGGTGCTCGGGCGTCTCTGCATGGCTTCTCTAGTGGAGCACGTCTAGGGTGCCTGGGCGCAGTAGTTGCCACACGCAGGCTCAGTAGTTGTGGCTCTTGGGCTTAGTTGTTCTGTGGCATGTGGAATCTTCCCAGACCAGGGGTCGAACCCATGTCCCCTGCATTGGCAGGTGGATTCTTACCACTGGACCACCAGGGAAGCCCAACATCTGGGGTCTTGAAGAGTCAGACCATCCGCTCGTTCTTGGGCTGGGCCTGGACCCTGCCTCCCTGAGGTCAGCCAGTACCTGACTGCCCCTGCTGGCCAGTCCACTCTGAGCCACCCACAAGAGTGCTTGGTGCCTGCCCGCTGGGGGCTGGCCCTGGATGGGAGATCCTTCTCCCTGGGGTCTGGCCAGGCCCTGTCACCCCAGCTCCTAGCAGCACTTGTCCTGGGGAGGAGGAAGGAGCAGGAGAAGGAACCTCTGGGCTTGCACCCCAGCTCTGCTCCATGGGGACTTAGCCTGTCTGCACCTCAGGTTCCTGCTATGGGCATGAAGGAGGGGGGTCTGTGCTTATCTCTGGCTGCCCTGGGGACCTCACTCAGTTTCCAGACATCATTCTGAAATTGCAGGTTCAAAGATGAGGCGCATTAGTCAAGGTCGTGGTAATTGCTTCCATTCTAAAATCCTAGTGCCTAACACTAGAGGTTTATTCCCTGTAAAGTCCTAATCCGGAGACTCTCCTCCAGGAGGTGGGGACCTTGGCCTCATAGCTCCGCCTCTGTGTCAGGTAGCTCCTGGCACCTCGGTAGGGGAAGGAGCAGGGAGGCTCTCTGTCAGGGGCTCGATGAGTTGGCCCTGGGTCGGGACACTTCTGCTCACTCTCCTGTGGGGGCTGGGAAGTATGGTCCAGCCAGGAAGCAGGCGAGGAGACAGGCCTGCCCAGTTCTCCCTCCTGGTCCCATGTGTGCACGCCGCCCTCAAGGACAGTGACCACCGTCCTATCCAGCGCCACGTCTGTCTGTTCGGGCAGCACTGGTCACATCACAGAGGACCCCTGTATGTCTGCGCCTTGCCCTTGGGCTTTGAGGACCCATCTCACATTTCTCTCTGTTCCCCTAAGAGACAGAGCGTAAAGAACAGGGGAAGGGCCACTGAGGATGACCAGGGACAGGAGGTGTCTGCGGACCCCCCAGCGCAGTCCCAGCCTCTGAAGCCCTCTGAACCCCCAGAGTTACAACTCATGGCCCAGGGAAGGAGCACTGAGGGTGTGGGTGCATTTTTCTTTCCTGTCAGAAGATTGGTATTTTCACTTGTTAAAAGCACATCAATGCAGGTTCCAAGAGCACTGAATTAGTAGACATGGCTTAATTGATATTTTAAACATTACTACAGAACACAGGGGGAGGGCATCTGTTTGACTCGGTGGTTATAATTATTTCAAATGGCTTGTCATTTGAATAAGTAGATAGTTGACATGACAAAGGTTTTTGTATGCTATTTCCATTGTTTGAAATTAAAAAAAAAAAATCTTTTGTCATTGTCCACCCGCAGACCTCTTAACTGGTCAGAGCAGTTCCTGAGAGTGGGCCAGATTTGAGGCTTTTCATTTCCATTCATGCTGTAAAATAGCTACTTTGATGTTTTTTATGAGCAGGACACAAAGCAGAGAAAGCGCCACAGGGAACTGTGTGGCTCTCGGTGCCTTTTTGTTCTTTGCAGAGAGAGGCCCAAGGGAGACAGTCCTTGAAGATCGGGGGTGTCGTGGGCTGCTAGTGCTGCACTGGAGTGTTTCTCTGATGGCTGTGGTGGCAGAGGGACTTAGCTGGTATTCTCTGTGGCCCTTGGGCTGCGCCCCTCCGTCCAGTCTCCCCAGGCCAGGGCGGGCATCTGAAGCCCCAGGCCACAGTAGGTGTGGCCGTGGGTGCACCTGACCAGCAGGGGCCATGGTCTCCTCCTGAGCAGAAAGAGGGTTTTGGGTGCTCTTCTCCACTTGGAATGAAATGAGGAACTGGGCAGGGCAGCGTCCTGGACACCTTCTCGGGGCCTGCCTTCTCATCCAGTGTAGTGTGTCCGGCGATGTTTCCTTGAGACCCAGTGTGGTTCCCTGATGATTTGGACTGTTCTGGACGACCCTGAGCCTGGGAGGCATCTGGGAGAGGAAGCATCTCTTCCCGGGGGTCATCTGCACTGACCAGTCCCCGGGGACGCTGGGGGCCCTGGGGCCCCCTCCCTGAGCCATGGAGCTATGTGTGCTGTCTGTTGTCTGGTTTTAGACAGCATCCTTGTGCCCCTGCTCCCGAGGGGTCCACCTCCAGGTGGGTGGGCGGGAGGGTGGAGTCTTCAGAGCTGGCCTCTCGGCAGGGTGTTCTCCACCGGCTCCCAACACTGCGACAGGCTGTGGCTTCAGACACGTCCCAGGTGGAGGGTCCACCTGAGGCTGGCGCCAGGACCTCCCATGGCAGCTGGCTCCTGCCTCTGCTGGTCACACAGGGAGCCCGGGGAGCAGGCCAGTCGCCAGAACCCCCCGAGACAGACGCTGACCACAGATAACAATGAGAGCCCCGCACCCTCCCCATCTCCTGAGCTGGAGCCCCTTCATGGCCTCCACCACAGCCGAGGGCCCTCCCAGCCAAGAGCGCATCAAGATGGTCGAGTCCCTCCCGCAGGGCCCTCTCGGAGCAGATGGCACTTCACATACGAGCTTGAAACTTGAGTCTAAATCTCTCTAAGCTGGCAGGCTTGAGAACAAATAGCAAATATCTTGAGTTTGAAAGTCAGTTCTCAAAACCCCGGCTCACAGGAACGCAGATCTTCCTGCTTCAAGACCCCCGCAGACAACCACACCTCCTGGGATCCCACGTGAAGGAGCACTGGGCAGAGTCTCAGAGGCAACTGTCGATGCTGGGTGACCCAACCTGGGTCCTGAACACCGTTACTTCCTACACAGGCTTTTCTGTCTACGTCCAAACACAGGAAGGACCTTTCTTCACCTGCAGGGTGTCTCAGCCATTCAGGGGCCCAGCAGGCTGGCTTCCTCGGCAGCTCCGTCTTGCTGGGGCAGGAAGGGGCCACCCTCTCTGGGCACCAGCTGTCCGGGCAGGAAACAGATGGGTGTCAGCCATCCTTCCCAGAAGGGCCTGGGAAGGCGGAAGCAGGCATGGCAGGGGGTCTGCCCAGAAGCCCCTTTGTTGAATTACTCACACCTGTCAGAAGAGTCAGTGTTTTGAGGGATGGTGTCACTTTCTGGAGATCGGGCTTGCTTTCTTTTTCTTTTTTTTTTTTTTAAGTGTAGCCTCTTAGAGATTTGCAGCAGCAGCCGTGCCACATGGGTGAGGGGGTGGTAGCTTGGTGCTCTGGGAAGATGCATGGGGGACGCAGGAGGAAAAGCCAGCACCCCTTCCGGTGCTGCGTATCTTGGGCCGGGTCAGCACCAAGGGCCAGCTGGAGTCCAGGATGGGGTCTGTGTCTCACACCTGCGGTGTCTCTGTCTGGTCTGGAGTCTCTGCCTATTGTTGTGTTTAATGAAGTCACAACTTTTGAGAGACTGTATAATAAATTGCTAAAGTGTTTATGGAATGGGGCATGAAAGTTGGATGGGTGACTATGTCCTAACAGATGGCCACACCCATCCTGGGGGCTTATAGCCCAGAGGTGGAGGTGGGCAGTGGCTGCCCGTGGGGCAGGGCAGGGCCTCACTAGAGGCACTGGTGTCCCCAGGAAATGACTTCACGACCCACTATCCAAGTGGCTAATTAATCCTTAAGCCTTCCCCCCATGGACTGGAGCGTTTTGAGACCAGTGTTCCTTAGAGAAACCCCACCCAGGGTGGTGGCAATGACCATGTGAACGTCAGGACAGTGTCGCACTGCGGGGCCCTTAAGCTGTGGAAACCTTTCAGTCTTGTGACCTAATCTCTCTCCTTTATGATTCCAGAGCCAAACACGGTCAGCTACAGCCAGTCCAGCTTGATCCACCTGGTGGGGCCTTCTGACTGCACCCTGCATGGCTTCGTGCACGGAGGTAAGGACAAGTGACCCTTGCTGTCCCTTCCCACTCACTGGTTCCTCATTAATCCCCCCAGGAGACCATGCTGGCATCTGACCCAATTTAGGCTCTTGTGTTTAATGAAGTATGAATTTCAACTTTTAAGAAGTTGCATAATAAATTACCGAAATACTGTCGGCGCCTGTTTTTAAAACTGGTAAATGAAAGTCAGATGGGTAACTGTCCTAACAGAGGGTCACACGCAACACTGGGAGCTTACAGCTACGAGACGTCTAATGGCTGCCCGTGGGTCAGGGCAGGGCCTTTGGGGGAACAGTGAGGGCACCAGGGAGTGACATTGTGACCCACCAAGAGAGAAGGGTTAATTCAGCATGGTCTTGCCTCTGGTGTTTGCATGTATTTCTTCCTTTAATCAGACTCCACCTCAGACAGCACAGGCCTTGGAGCTCCCAGCTTGAGGACCACAGCTGGCACAAAAGAGGACTTAGTTCCAGCCTCACAGAGGGATGCTTTCTACTTTAACAGTGTGTGATTATTTTCTTTGTGATTTAAGGAAAATATAAATGGTACATCATAATCCATAGTTTAATGGAGATAATCATCTCAAATGACATTAAAGTAAACTTTAAAAAAGAAAAAAAGGATGATATAAAGAAAAAACAAAAGGGGAAAAGTCAGGAAGCAGTATGGCAATTAGTAGAAGTTGTGTGGGTGGTGGGAGTCTGGGCACTACTCCTCTTGGCATGCCAGTAGTTCCTCATCCCCCGGGTGTGATGGGCACTTGCACATGGTATTCATTTGCACTCATTTCCAATTGCCTGAAATGCCAAGTTCTTCTTTCTTCTCCACTGTGAAAACTCCTATTCATCCTTCAAAACCCCATTCCAATAGTGCTACTCCATGCAGGATCACACTGATACTTCTGCCAGGGGACGCCTCCAGAGCAGGGCTCAGTCTTACTCTTTGTGTAGGCTCTGGGGTTTCACACAAAGTCAGAGAGATGCTTTGCAGAAGCTTGTTCTGGAAACAAGAGATACAGGTCAGGCTTGGGTTGGAAAGTTTGGGGTGATAAGCCCTGGGCCTGTCACAATCAGGAATGGGCCCTGATTTGAGATGTATTTTTCAAGTTGTTGTTGTTGTTTTTTTTTTTTTTTTAACTAATCCATCCTCTTTTTGTGTATTTCTTTATCCAATTTCATGATAATTTTCCTCTTTGAACTAAGCACTGGCCACAATGTCCTTAGATCTGATGAACTTAGTCCTGCCTAAGGGAAGCTGAAGTTCATAGCAAAGGGTACATTCTAGGCCCGTGAATGTTCTGACAATCAGGGTGTCTTTCTACTTGGAGAGGTGCTGTGGCCTCAGCAGCTTTCTGTTCTTCACTAGCCCCTATATCCAACAGCCGGGCTTCTGGAAGGCAGCTATGCTCACCACTATACCACCAACGCTATAGCCGGGCTTCTGGAACTGCTGAGAACTGTCTTTCAGACTCGTAGTGTATAGTGTGCTCAGGCACTCAGTTGTGTCTGACTCTTGTGCAACCCCACGGACTGCAGCCTGCCAGGCTCCTCTGTGGGATTCTCCAGGCAGGAATACTGGAGTGGGTAGCCATTCCCTTCTCCAGGGGATCTTCCCAACCCCAGGATCGAACCCACGTCTCTTTAGTCTCCTGCACTGTAGGCAGATTCTTTACCACTGAGCCATCAGGGAAGCCTCATAGAGCTCTGTTCTACTTGAAGTTTGGGAAACTCTGTGCTAGAATTTTTGCTTATTTCATCCAGATTTTGGCAGTAAGTTTATACTCTTCAGTCCGATCTTTGTTCACATGCTTGAGGCATCCATGATACACAGGCAGCAAGGGAATTTTTGGCATCTTTTAAACATATAAGGCATTTTATTGTCATTTATATAACCTGTATGGCTGCCTTTAAAAGTCATTTTTTTAAATACAAGTTAAAGAAGTGTTTACAATGGCTTTATAATATTTAGTGCCTATTTTAGTAGGGATTTTGTGTTCGTGATTTAAAAATCGTGCCTCCTAATTTTACCAAAACTAGTCTTCTCTTCTGATGCCTCATAACTCACCGGGAGTGAAAGTGCAGAAAACACTGAGCACAGTGATCTTACTGTATTTTCCTATAGAGGGAATGTCATCACCAAGAATGCTGTTTGAGTCATTTGAATGAAAGTCTTTCATAAACTATATGTAATTCAGTGGATGCCAATCACAGAAGAAAACAGCAAAGTGAGATGGATGCTAATTTCGCTTTTTTTCAGTAATTCCGTGCTGCACACGTGTCTTAGAGAAACTCCTCTCCTGCCCTGTTTTCTTTGGTTTGCATACATTGGGCAATCTTCGCTTGAGGACTGGCTCCTACCCCGCCACCTAGAAAACACACACAGTACAGACCTGGGCAGCGCCGAGCTGGCATGAGATGTAGTGGGGAGGGCTGGAGATCACCTGCAGGGGCGGGGCCTCTGATAACCAGTCAAGGGAATAGAAAAGATGTGGGGAGTGAAATGCTGGGTACGGAGGACACTTACTTGCTGCGAGGAAAAGCAGCCTGAAAGAAGCACTTGCTTCTCCGGGTGCTGACTTTCAGGGCCTCTGCGGCAGCGCTGGCCAGGCTTTGGGCTTCTGCCTTCTGAGTCCTCCACTTGGAAGTCCTGGGATCTTGGCCCAGGAGAGGCCGTTCTCCCTCTGCTCCCCCCTCCCCCATGGTTGGCTGAAAGGGGTGACCCGGCAGCTGTCTGTGGGGTGTTTAGGTTCTTGCAACACTCAAGACCTTTTTATAAACTCATCCAAAACCCCATCCTTGATAAAAACAGTCAGGGTAGGAATTGATTTTACTCCCCCAACATGATTAAAGCCTTAATGCGAGATCTTATTCAGAGGGGAGCCTGGAGGATCTTCCCCTGAGGTCAGGAGTCAGGCAGGTTAACATTGTTTCAGAGATTTTAGGCACCACAGTAAAACAGGAAAGAAAGCAAAGTCACAAGAACTGGCAGAAAAGAAGCAATGCTCTGTGGCTTTGCAGATGGCACAGTGACATACCTGGAGAGCCCAGGAGATTCGGTGATAAAAATAACTCAAATAATTAAAAATGCAGGAACGTAGCAGCATACAAAATGAATAATAGTAATAATTATAGAAAAGCTTGGCTGAAATAGAAAAACTGATTTTTCTTGTTTTGGTTTGCAGATCTGTTTGTTTTCTGCGGCATGCTTTGTGTCGGTGGATTTTTAACTCTATCATGACACATGACTTTTTCATATTTGATGAAAAGCGGGGGTGGTTTTGTGCCTTTGTCTCGGATTCATCTTAAAGGTCTCGCTCCTTCTCCCATGTTGGTTCCTGAATGTCCTTTGCCGTGATTTCTCTCCTGGGGACCCGCCTTGCCTGGCCCTTTGTCGACTGTTTTCCACATGGCTCTCCCAGCCCGAGAGGGGTGTTGCCACCACAACTGGCCCGACGTGAAAGGAAGCCGAGGCCGCTGGGCTTTTCTGAGACCTGTGTGGCCGTGGGGGCAAATCAGAGAGGGAAGACCCCGGAGGTGGGGGCCCTCAGCCTGGGCCCTGCAGCTCTCGGCTCCATGCGCTCACCTCTGACTCCCTTCCCCTTGACGTGCCCCTTGTTCTCTTGCCTTGATGTCCAGCCTGGCCTTCCCACCTGGCCGCATTCACCCGCCCAGGCCCACACTGTCTTCCTGGAGCGTCCTGAGTGCCTCCCCCGCAGGCAGATGCACCCTTGCCGCTTCACCCGCCACAGCCCCAATGCCTCCTCTCTTTTTAGTGTATTTTATATTGGATATAGCCAGTTAACAATGCTGTGACAGTTTCAGGTGAACGCAGAGCAGCCCAGTCATACACACACCTGTGTTTGTTCTCCCCCAAACCCCCTCTCGTCCTGGCTGGACAGCTCCCTGCTTTCTGCCTCCTGTGATGACTGTGGTTTTCTCAGGCACTCGCCTCCTGGCACCCCATCTTCCTACCCTGCCTGGCCTCTCTCCCGTGGTGCTCTTGGAAAAGGAGCTCAGTGAACGTCCTCTGAATGAATGGAAGACATCTTTTGGAAACAGTTTGAGTTGACAGCTGCAGGTGGCTGTGTCCTGGGCGATTAGCAGCTTTCCTCTGTTTGAAACACGGGCGGTAACTCCAGCACGTGGCTCCCACATCCTCAAAACTGCCGGGTTGGGCCCACTCTGAGGACAGGCTCCGCCCTGTGCTTCATTGCCCCTGTGGTGGCTCCTGCAGGGAACCTGCCCCCATCTGCCTGACCCAGCAGGCGCTGGTACTTCCTGCTCCACACCTTGGAGCGTTTGCTTTCCATCCCTCCAGCCCGGTCCCTCTCTTGTCCTCCCTGGAGCCTCCTGCCAAAGCTGGCGGGCTGGTCTGGCCCTCACTGTTCATCCGGCTTCCCCTGCCTAAGGCCCAGGGTCGCCTTCCCCTGCTTCCTTCGCCACCACCACGCCTGCAGCCCCTGTGCTGTCCCGCCTTCCTGCCTGTCTTCCTTTCCTGCCGGCTTCGGGGACCCAGGCCCCATCCCAGCCTGGGCCGGTGGCTCTGGCCACGTACCCCCAGCCCACTCCTGACTCCAGCTGCCTCTTCAGGACCAGCCTGGGACGGTTGGCACAGAGTATCAGACACGAGTCCTGGGTTCCTCCCAGCTTTACCTCTGTGGTGGCAACCAGATCATCCTCTGGTTGTGGAGCCAGGATTCCTGTGGCCTCTGTGACTCAGCCTGTCTCAAAGGCTCTCTGTGTCACCTGTCAGCGAGACCTTTGGGCTCCAACTTCAAACATCAGAGTCAGTTCTTACCGCTTCCACTGTCACCTCCGGGTCTGTATGTTTCCTGGGAAATGGCCTCACATCTGGTTCGAGTTCCCTGACCGGTTTACTTGGAGCTGAAGGCAGATTGAGCTGGGTCTGCTCAGGCCCCATGGACAGCTGTCTGGAGGCCTGTCTTTGTCTTCAGGTCTCTGGAATAAGAGAATAGGCCTTTCCTGTCCACCTGG